GCTGCTCAGACAGCGGTTTTTGATGAGCGGATGTTTGGCTTTCTTCTTCAGGAGACGCCTGGAAACATCTAGAAAAGTCACTACGTAAGGAAGGAGGGCACCAGGGAAAACTGGAGTCGCTAAAAATGAAGTGGACACTGCGTGAGGACCGGTGAGTGCGTGGCATTCACGCGAATTGTGACTCAGGAGAAGAACAAATCGAAGCGAAGGGTCACGCGCAAGGACCGTCCAGAGAGGTGATGCTACACGATCCACGCACCTACACGGGAGACCGGTTAATGCAACCGCTATCCCAATGGACGCACCCTTGTAATGTCAGAGAGGAAGAAAACGAAGGGTTTTTTTTTAAGCCAGTTTCTGCCGTCTGAAATCGATCAAACATGCAATCAAGATGTCTTTATCATTACTGGTGACCAGGACGAGAACGCTGGAAATGAAGGAGCAGCAGTTCGACAACATGGCCTCGGGGATCAGAACAAAGTTGGCAATCACAGGAGAGATTTTGCAGGACCAACGTCGCGTTCCTTGCGAATACCTTTTTCAACAACGTAGGTGGACCACGGTGGATGGAAGCCATGGGAATCAATCTGATTCCGGCTGTGGGAGGAGACTGTGGGGAAGGTCAGTGGTCACCTGTCAGCACAGGACCACGGGCTGACCATGGAGCCGACTGCCAATTGCTTGTGACGCACACAAGCTGGAGCTGACTGGCGGGCAGACAACAACAAGAAGACACCATTTTTTAACCCAGTGATTTTCACTTTCAGGACACTTTTCTCAGGGAATAATTAGGCTTTAAATTTACCTGTCTAGACACTCATAATGGAGCTATTTATAACAGCAAATAGTTATAAACTTTATGTCGTTAAGACAACATTTTTAAGTTTTTATAACTCCATGGTACATGGGAATGATTTAAGAGCAAAAAATGAAATAAAAGCAAGCAGCCTACACCACTCTGTAGAGAACGATGTAAATTACACTGAAATATGCACGAATCATAAACGGAACAACTACCAGGAGAAAATCTAACGGTGACAGCCGTGACAATGTGTAGGGTCTGCTGTGCTTTTCATGTGCTTGTTCATCCTTTTTTCCTTCAAATCTCCCCTCCAAGTTCCTACTGTGAAAGATGTCAAGTTCAGGGCCACGTCTCACAGAAACTGTTCTTTCTCAAAACCACCATACAGGGCAAGACCCAAAAGACTGAGACACCCCACAGGTGCCTGTCCTTGAGACGCTCAACAGGCGGCAAGCTCCGACATCTCACTGAAGATGAAACACAGCAAAGAGGATGCCCAGCACGATGCCCGAGGTGACCATCCGTCTTGGTGGCTCAGGGCTGTCTGTTCGATGGCTGCTGTTAATGGTTATGAACAGAGCCCCGGCTATTCTCCAAGGTGTCTCCATGCGGATGACAGGCTGCATGCTTGCCCAATCATTCTTAAAACAGACAACAGTAATCAAAATATACGGCACCCTTCCTTCCTGTATAAACCCAGGACGGTATGTAATGCCTCATCGCACGGACCGACAGACTCATGTAATCACCGGAGCAGCTCGATGAGGATGATCTTTCAACCTGAGGTGTGAAGCCCCTGCCCAGGCCCTCCTGTTGGCAGGTAACAGAGCCTGGACTTGATGTACATCCCCAGCAGATAAGCAGCGGAAGGCGTACCTGGGCCTGCTGGAGCACAGCGTTGGTGGGCAGGGGTCTGGCAGGGATGCCGGGGGCCCGTGGAGCCTGGTGGTGGGGTGGGAGC